AAATTACAATAATAAATAAAAAATAAAAAGATCCAAAATAATTGGCAATCACTCAGGGAGCATTATCGAGGCGCTATACACCCCCAGGATTGGGTAGAGTTGTTATCCCCCCACGCAAGCTGGCAGAGCCAGGTCTTCAATTTTTTCCGGAAAGCCGGGAGGGTGGGGGCCTGCCGCACCTCTGGGGGAGAATGTTCCAAAGGGTGGGAGCAACAGCAGAGAAGGCTCTCCTCCTGGGCCCTGCCAGTCGACATTCTCTCGCTGATGGGACCCACAACATGCCCTCTCTGCCTGACCAGGTGGGACAGGTTGATGTGATGCGGGTAAGACGGTCCCTCAGGTAACCTGGACCCATGCCATGTAGGACTTTAAAGGTAATAACCAACACTTTGAATTGGACCCAGAAGCAGACTGGGACCCAATGGAGCTCGCGTAGTAAAGGTGTTATATGCGCCGTTCTTGGGGCACTCAAAATTATCCACGCGGCCGCATTTTGGACCAGCTGTAGCTTCCGGATACTCTTCAAAGGTAGCCCCATGTAGAGCGCATTGCAGTCTAGCTGAGAGATGACCAGGGCATGAGTGACTGATCAGAGAGCCTCCTGATCCAGGAAGGGGCATAATTGGTGTACCACACGAAGGTGGACAAAGGCTCTCCTGGCCACGACTGCCACCTGCTCCTTGAGCGGGAGTGTCAGTCCAGGAGGACCCCCAGATTATGCACTGGGTCCGTCCAAGGCAGTGCAACCCCGTCGAAAACCAAAGTTGGTAAGTCCTTGGATACAGAGGGGCCTCTAATCCATAGCCACTCCATCTTATCAGGGTTCAGCTGAAGCCTGTTTGAAATAAATATTTCAGTTTTCACCAGAGATCTCCCAAAATGTCACTGAGATTTTTCTTTGGCAGTGATAGACAAATTACAACCCTCAAGTTGCAGACTGTCATCCAAGAGCCTTGAACGCATGACTCGTGTTGGGGTCAATACCTCTTCCTGACTCCTCTCTTGATGTTGCTACTGCTGCCAACTTATTCAGCACCCTTGGTTCCATCAGGCCCAGTAGCCAAAGACTGTTCTCACTGCAGAAATTAAGATATCTGATGCTGTAGCTTCATGTTAGGACTTCAATCACTGGCCCTTACAGAAAGAGGGCCTTCAGGAAACAAGAGTGGCTACAAATGCTAGATGTTATGAGATAGCAAGGGGGGAGGGGAGGAGCCCTTCTAAGCCTTCCTCCTTTGCAATCTCAGCAAAGGGAAAGAGCTTTGGTTAAATGCGCATGTGCGCAGGTATTATGTGTGGCCTTTGGCCCAACTCAGCACTGCATGAGTCCCTCAGAGCCAAAGAAAATGCTCACCTATCTTTTAAGGGGCTCTTGGATGCACAACAGTATTCTACACAAAATATCCTTTTTAGTGTATACTGTCAGTCTTCCCAACTTGAACCTTCTAGATGTGTTTGGCTACAATTCCAACTTTTCTCCAGCTCACATGATTATATTAGTTGAGTATGACATGAGTATTATATCACGTCCATAGGCTTTAACTTACTATGGTAAATTACCAGCCCCAATTTCTGCACATTTATGAATCTTGCCAGACATGGCTTTCAAGACTAATTTTATCTGACTTCATTGCTGATTTTTACAATACTTTGCTAATTTGCTTATTCTGTAAGGGGTATTAGCATTTTTTGCCACAAGTATTGGGACAAATTTGCTGATACTTGGAACTGAGTTTCAAAATGAAATACTTAACTCAAAAGCAGTATTTACTAAGGCAGATAACCCAGTGGAATCAACAGAGCTTATTCACAGCAGTGTGTTAAAATACTAATTTTTATTTAGGGCACTTATATCCCAACTTCCTTTTGTCATAGAATTTAAGGAATACAGGATAAAGGTCTCCCTTTCAGACACTAACCAGATTCAACCCTTCAAAGCTTCATCAACCTTTGTAAAGGATGGCTTGTTCAGCATGAGACTAAACTTACATGGGTTTTTGAACAAGGGATAAGAAGTTGGCCAAGAAGACCTGGGGAGTAAACACCAATACAGCACAGTGATAATGATGTAGTGAAAACGTAATTATCAACAATGGACGGAAAAGCAATTGAACTGTTCTCAAAAATCAACATTGGCCGGAAGAGGCTGGTATGCATCGCAACACGGCAGCAACAGAAGGGGCAGGTAGAGAAGCAAAGGTTAATTCCAGTCTGCTTGCTACTGGATCAGCGTGTCAGAGAAAAGTACTGTAGTTGGCAGTTTGTGCCCTGTAAACTGTAGCCTTTTCGTACAGAAAGCACGGGTCCCTTTGCTCTTTATATTCCACTACATTTATGCATTCCATTAAGGGAAACCTCATCGGCGAGGTTTCGGAAGTGGCTACTGCTGCAGACCTGCAAACAGCCCAAACCAGTCCTCCAGACATCTGGGTTGGGTCAAAACTAGCCACGCCCTCTCAGGGTCTCCTAAAGGGCAACAGAAGAGAGGGCATCTCTCCCGGGCCGAGCCAGCACCGCGCAGTTAGGAAGAGCTGGCACCGAAAAAGAAGTTGCCCCAGCCAAACAAAAGCGGAACACGGATCCCTCCGGGCCGGAGAGAAACCCTTTCCCCTCCCCCTCCAGATCGGCTTTCTTTCAGGTCAGAAAGCTCCAGATCGGCTTTCTTCCCCAGATCCGCCTGTAAACATCGCCGGCACGTGGCCTGCCTGGACCAAAAAGTGCAAGAGGCCGCGGAACTGGGGCGAGGAGGGAGAGCCGCTGTTGGTTCTGCGGCGCGGCCCCGATACCTGCGTGTCCAGGAGGGCCGCTTCTTCTGCCCGAGGCGGCGGCGGAGCAGCGGGGCGCAGCTCGCGCGGCGCCAGAGCGCGACGGGGGCGGAGATCATCGTCCCCGGCGGCGGGGGAGGCTGCTGGGCAACGAAGGGCGTTGCCGAAGGGGACGTTTAAGGTCAGGAGAGCGTTGCCTAGTCGGAAGGAAGCACCGGCCCCGTCAGAGCCGGGCGCGCCGGGAGTCCCTCCCCAGTTTCTCCCAGCTCTCTTCCAGCGTCACAGAAGGGGTGTAGCTCTGTTTTGAGATAGGCCGAAGACGGAGGAGGATCGTTTCGATCCCGGCCCTGCGGCGAAAAAGACAGGCATGGCGGGGGAGGGGGGGGGCTGGTTCTCCCTGCCAATATTTAAAATAAATTGGATGCCTATTGTCGAGGCCAGTTTGATGTAGTGGCTAAGGCATTCGGCTAGAAAGCGGGAGAGCGTGAGTCCTAGTCCCGCCTTAGGCACGAAGCCAGCTGGGTGACCTTGCGCCAGTCCCTCTCTCTGAGCCCGAGGAAGGAGGCAAGGAAGGGAAAACCACTGCTGAAAATCCTTGCCAAGGGAGCTGCAGTCACCAGGAGTCAAAAGCTGAGCTGAAGGCGCGCGCACACTGACGAGGCGTCCTAGCGCGCATGGCGCGAGCCGTTTTCTAGCGGGCCAGTCTGAGAACTCCGCAGCGGGGTCCGCTGAGCCCCCCTCTCCCGCAAGGAAGCCGGTCGTTGCAAAATGCAGGGCTCCTCTGGGGGTGCGCATTCCTCGTGCCGTTCTGGAGGCCACGCTAGACTTTGCGTAGATCGCCACGCGTTTAGACTCGGATCAAGCTACGGTGATGATCCAGGTAGCCCGGCCTTACTGATTTTTCCGGATGTGAATAGCTCTTCCACCTCCGGGTCGGAGAGGTCTTTTCCTGCCGCCACATGATCCTGTCTTTTAGAAACGATTCCAAGATGCCCTGCGGGCCCTGCTTCTCAGCTATGGCCCTACTGTCTTTCTCGGTATTGTTAAGAGGCAGAAACTTTAAAGGACATTCTTTTTCTGATCGCTTATTGGAGATATCGGATGAGCGAGTAGATTAAACCTGGGACCATGTATACCAGTGTTGTCCAAACTTGGCCACTTTAAGATGAGTGGACTTCAACTCCCAGAATTCCCCAACCAGCTCTCATCTTAAAGTGACCAAGTTTGGACAACACTGACGAATACAGAAAGCGAGCGATCTTTTACTGAGCTATGGTGCTTCTCCTGTACAGGTTCAAAATGCAGATTGATTGCATTAATCCTTTAGTTTGAATGTGTAGACCCAGCCATTGTGGCTTTTTAAAAAATAAAACATGGGTAAAACATCATGATTTAGTGTGATATATGAACCCAGCCAATATATTTCCTTTCATTCCAGCAGGAAAGGCCGTTGTTGTTGGACTCAGCAATTGTAGAAGCAGAAACCACAGGACTTGCTCGCCTGCTGATCTTACCAGGTTTAAGTCCCTAATTGGTTTCTGTAAATAAATACCAGGAGGTTTCAACTTAAGATCAGAATCTAAAAGGGAAGGAGGCACACTCAGGACCAACTTCTAGCGATATAATCCTGAGTCCATTGCAGAAAAAGCAAAATAAGATTCTGTTATGATGTTTGAAAATAGATGCAATGGGAAGGGGCCTTTAGCATCTCAAATATTCATTGTGCAAAAGATGACAGAATTAAAAAACACTGCAATTAAAGAATTTGCTCTGTGTCTTCTTGATTTTTGAACACCAATTTCCTATTTCTGCAGTTAATAAAACCAATTTCAAAAAGACCCATGAAAATAAACTAGTAACTTTTTGATGAGGTGGCATGAACTGACTGAATATTGTTCTTGAGGGAACTGGATGAAGTAGAAATCTTTGTTTTTATTTTATTTAGAAAATATGTTCTGCTGGACTGCCCAGGTCCTTCTTGAGCAACTAAATTGTAATGGAAAAACAAGAGTCCTCCAGATCCTTCTGATGGACAGCTACACAGTCAGGGATGACTGTGAGGGATGTTGAGAATTGAACTGAAGCAACTTTTGGAGGCCTGCAAGTCTGCCCTTCCCAATCTCCACTTTTCTTGAACATTGTGTTTCAGATTTTGTAAACCTTTAATTAATTTCTCACTGCTCTGGTATGAATGACTAGAAATATGGAGAGTCCTGTATTTGGTATGGCAATCAAACCTCTGCTACTGCTCCAACTCCAGAATTCTGTCAGTGAAGAATTTTGAATACAGGTAGTCCTCGCTTAATGACTGTTCATTTAATGATGGCTTGAAGTTACAACGGCCTTGGAAAGGGTGCTTTACGACCTGTAAAGCACTTCCAGCTGTTGTAAAACGTCACACTGCCCCTGTCTCGTGGTCACATGGCCACATTTCAGGCATTTGGCAACCAGCTCACATTTATGACCAGTTGCCAAGCACCCTGCGATCATACGGTTGCCATTTGCAATCTTCTCTGCCGGCTTCTGGAGAAGGTGAATGGGGAAGCTGGCAGGGAAGGTTGCAAGCAGAGGGAACAGAGGGGAGCTGAAATACTTCTGCAGGAACAGAGCTCAAATCCTGAAGATTTGAGCTCCGTTCCTCCAGCCCCACAAAGGATTTCCCCTCTGTACAGGTGCTCCCTTCAGCGCGGAGCCAAAATCCTTTAGCAGGCAGCTCTTTTGCTCCATCCGCTTAAGGACCCACCCGGGAGATCACTTAACCGCAACTGGGAGTGCCTGGATTGCAGTCATTGAGCAAAGCAGTCACGTGGGCATCTCCCTTAATGACCACTTTGCTCAACAATCAAGATTCCAGTCGCAATTGTGGTCATTAAGCAAGGACTACCTGTATTGAAATGACTGTCATGTACATGTCTGCTTCAAAATTCACTATTATATTCAGTAGCTTACTCTTTGTAAGCTCGCATAAGATGGCAGGTTTAAGATTCTGAGACAATTGACTTTTATAGGTATAAATTCATTTTATTTAGGCAGCTTTTTGCAGTTTACTTTTTAATACATTTATTTGTTTTCTCTAAGCCAAGTAGAATTGTGCTAAAAGCTGGGTTAAAACAGATTTTTAAAAATGATTAAAAATGTTTTTAATAGAGTAGAAGGCAAAGGAAAACACAGCTGCTAGAGAAATGGCTATTACCATTCTGAAAGTACTTGACCAACATTCTTTGCCATCAGTTCTTAACAGAACGAGCATCTCTTCCTAGTTGTACAGCAGAGCTTTACTCTTATTTTGTTAGCATAAACCAGCCTTGGTGTCCTTTCGATATGACAGACCATACTTTCCAAGGCACATGGCCACTGGAATTCCATTTCAACATCTGCTCAGGACTCCAGGTTGTGCAACACTGACATCACCAGAACGACGTAAGAAAAACCCTACTTGGTCAAATTGAAAACCGTTCACGTCTAGCATCTTGTTTCTTCCAATGGCGTACCAATGTCTCTAGGAATCCCACAAGCAAGGCATGAGAGCAGCAGAACCTTCACCTTTAAAGCCATATGAGTTGGTGATGAAATCTCATCTTATGGCAGCAAATTCCATGAGTAACTAGACGTTTTAAGTTATTTCCTCTTATGAAAGCAGGTATGCCAATAGAATCAACTACTGCGCTATACAATTTTTTGAAGTTTCAGAGTGTGGGTGCAGAATACATATAACTTAAGTTTACTTATTGTAATTATAAAAAACCAACATGCTTGGAGATCTAGCTGTTGAGCTAGACTGCAGCACCTAACCAATTTTGGGCTCAGAAGCTAACTAGCATCAGATCTGGTTAGTAGTCAGATGGGAGACTTCTAGAAAATACTAGGACTACATAAACATGGAACTGGTATCTCCAAAGCGGTAGGTTAGGAAAAGAATGGCCCAAAGTCCATTGACTTGAAAAGAAAAAGAAGAAAAGGTCTATAGTTTAAACCTTCTTGTGACACATAAACAGTTTGATTCCTGAATTCTGCAGCAGTCAGACATTTTGTTTACGCATTATCTCTGCAATAAAGTAACGTTTGAGTCATCTCAAGTCTGTGAAGCTTCTGCTGTTTGCTAATTACTGAATATGGGATTGCATTTCTTGGGCCAAAACGTTTATTGTCATGCCTAGTGTGAAATCTGACAGCAATAAAGCCAGCTTCTTAACTTTTGGATTTAAATTTCCTGACACTTGGAATAAAGAATTTAGGATATGTTTGATAACTGGGCAAAAGACAAGCTAATTATTATAATCTGATCAAGAACTTCCAGTTCAGCAAGGAACAGGAGATATTTTATTTGGCTCTTTGCAAACTATTGACTGAAATTGAAATTTTGCAGAAAAATAGCATTCATTGAATAACATTTGTGATAAAAACTTTCACAAAGAACCAATCTGAGAAATATTCATTCTCACAAAGCACTATAGAGAATGAACTAGTTCTATGAACTAAACTTGTTCCCTGTGCCCCACCTTGCTCATGTTTTATGCTGTGGCTATATTATATTTTACTCAGCTGTAAAATATATATTACATGCTAGTTTGTTCATTTTGGCTTATTAAATTTTGTATCAAATATTTCAAGTGTAAATCTGGATGGAATCCAGACCCTAGTATACGATGTGGATAGATGTCTTTGCAAGGTGTCCTTAAAAACATGTCCTCCTAGTATCATAATGTGGGAATGCCAAAAATAATTAGACACACAGGTCCTGTCAGTATTTGGTCATGGGTACTCTCACACAGATGTGAACGAATGACTTAAAAATCTTTCTTTAGGAAATAGGATGCTCAACATCTGGAATGGACCAGAAACTATATCTGAATTAAAAAGTTATTTTGAAAATAAATTCAGATAAAAGGCATATGAGCAGAAGAGACAAATTCTCTCACAGCTACCTGGAGATCACATTCATGATTGTCAATAAAAATGTTGGTTCTATCAAAATTCATTATCAAGCAATCAATTTGTTCTCAATTAGGAAGGGAATTAGAAAAACAGAAATTATTCCTGTAGTCCTGGCAAGCTCAATAACATGCATGTTATCAGACCTGGAGGATAGGTTGAGTTTGTTTTATTGCAAAAGCAATTATTCAGAATATATCTGAGGTGGGATTAACTATGAATTATTAAAAGCTTAAGCGTATTTATATGTTATTCATACACAAATCATTTATATTCTTGCTGATCAATTAATTTTGCATGTTATGGCTGGCAATGTGGCAAACCTTCCAGCAACATTAGCTATCCCTAAATAGCCCAGTAAAGCCCCATCTCTTATATCTGACATTAAGACAAGGGAAGAGAACCTGTGGCCTGCCTGATATTGCCAAATATCCTTTGTAATCTGCCATTCAGGGTTGGGGCTGCTGGGAACTGTAGTTAACATCCGGAGAAGTTTCTCTTCAAAGTAAAAATGTTAATTGCTGTTGCTCTAACTGGATAAACCACAAGCATGTTTATGAAGTCTGGAATTCTGCAGACCTGTGTTAAAAGTCAGTGATGGCTGGCAGTTCTTTGAATGGTGGTGATTGAAAATATTTCAGCAGTGACCTTCCTCCAGGTAAATGAAGGCCATCTCCATTCTTGCCCAGCTACATTCCCATGGAACTGCTTTAGTGCTTACTTGCATAGGTGGTAAGAGAGGATGAAACACATTGTTCCCTATACAACAAGCAATACATCTGAACCACTCTTGACAAGTGCTCTGGGTATAGACATCCACAGGCCAGACAAAGGGAGGGAGGCATAATGCATGTGGCATGACGTTACAGTGCAACTTAAGTTCCTGCATCAGACATCATGACACAAGTATGTAATTGTATCATTTGAGTGACATGATACACGTCATTTTGACATCATCATGCCTTTTTAAAAATGCTGCTGCATCAGTGGATGTTTACATGGGATGTTTTTCATTTCCCTCTCCCCCGAACATTTCTGCCCTCTCAACGATTCTTTAGGATTGGCCAAACAGGAGGAAAAACACCTACTCCTTGAGCATTGAAACAAGAATCCTTACTTTAACTCAGAATTGATAATGATCAGATAGCACAAAAGTCAATTGCAACAGTAGCAATATATATAAATAAAAGAAAAATTTGGAGGGCAACTGATGTTTTGTGTACATTAGTGCTTAGCCATGCAGTCCCATTCAGGTTCCCCCTTGCTTAAACTGAAAAACTAAACACCTAAAAGGAGCACATCGTACACTGTAAATTAGCAAGCACATCTGGATTTTTTATTGGCCTCCTATTCTCCCCTCACACCCATTATTCTATATAGGTTGAAAATATGTATTGGTATGATTGTATTGTATTTAATTATAGGCTAGAAAGCCCCAATGATTGTCCTGCATTGCTCTCCATGGCTGGCCCTGACTTCTCTCCCATTCCAGCTGAATCAATGCTCCACAGTCGTCATGCCCCACAGATGCAACTTGTATTGGCGTGCTGAGTGAAATCTTTAGTTAAGACACAGCTGGCAATTGGGATATTTATGCTGTACTGCCACTATTCTAGCTTTCTGGTTTATACCACATCCATCAATATCCTAGGAGGACCCTGGAAGGAGAGGTTCACTGAAAATAAGTTTACACATCTTTCCAACATTTTCAAAACAACTCTAAGCTTGAATGAAAGGCATCTAGGCCATCAAGCCCAGTATTAACATTTCTCATGGATAGAGTTCCCGAACACGTTAACAAAGCCCTTCTATCCTTTGCCACCATTCAAGATACCCCAAGTTTTCTCATGCATTTCACAAAGTTCATTCAAGTGTTCTGGACTGGATTTGCTGTTGCTGAGTTCCACGTTTTGCAGACTGGATTTCAGGATTGAGAGGCAGGCACTAGGAAAACAAAGCCTGTGATCAAATATGCAACAAAGGGACCATCCAAGGTAAAAATCAGAATGTCCATCATGTTCCCCTATAAGTACGGAGTTCACAAAGAAAAGTTTTTTGGATCAAAGCTGTCAGATGCAGAACAGCAGTGATATCAGATTTCATATAGAGTAACAAATAGGAACAGCAAGAACTGTCAGCTCTTAATGTAAAGCGTGGCAGCATTTTGAGGCCTTTTAGAGCCTAGCTAGCCTACTTATTCAGTACATGTTTGATTTAGAAGCCAGAGGAGTTTGGTCAGATATTTTTAGAGGGCTGGAGTTTATGACTCTACTCCCCATCCCTTTCATGGATCAGCATTCTTGCCACCATATCTACACAATGCAGTCATTGTGTTTGACTGCTTTTTTGTTTTGATTTCCTTCTGTGTAGCTCATTCCTACTCTGTACTGGTCCCTCGCTAAATCTCAGAATATCCAAAGCTCACAAGCAAATTAAAAGATGTGTAAGAAGAACATTGATGAAAGTGTGACTGAGTGGAAACAGCAGGAAATGGAAAAGATTTCCTTTAGGCAACCCAGTGAAAGTGACTGTAGCAAAAAATCAGAACTTCTCCCCTTGCATATAGCATTGCAGAATTTGCTGAGCTCTCAAGATTTCCAGGAATGAGACTGTGCCCCTGTCATGCAGGAAGTAAAGCTGTAAGCCTTGGCAAATATTTGTGCATTTCCATGCAGACTACAAAATAATTTCTTTCCTTCACACTGAAGAAAGTAATCTTCTCGAGTTTTTGTTTTGTTTTGTTTGATTTAGTCACTATTTGTGCCAACATAAAAGCAGGAGAGCAGAGATCCTTGGAAAAAGAAATGCCCTTCTACAGAACTGCCCTCCCACCTCCTTTTTAATCCATCAAAACAAGATGTCCCAACTACTATCAACAGCCGACTACAGGCAATGTTCAACATGATGGGACAGTTGGTTTTTTGTATCTCATTGAGCAAGGAGATTCATGCTGAGTCTCTTTGATCAGAGCTTCCAGGGAGATGCTTGCTTGCATCAAAACAAATGTGCTTTGCACAGGAGGTCCTCCATAACAGTTGGGGAAGGAGTAATGGATATATCACATGTTACCAACCAAGTCTTCTCAGAGAAAAGGGTTCATACTGCTTTGTGAAGCTAGTGGTGGGGGGACTGAGCCAGAGAGTGGTAGGAGAGGTTGAGGCAAGTTGCTAGGTAGCTCTGGAAAAGGCCCTGCTCCAGCCTGAGGGAAGGCACTCGCAGAGGCTGGGAGAGTCATTGTTGAGGGGATGCTACTGAGTGGAAGAGGGAGAGAAGCACTGTAGGTCATAGAGTTCATTGGCACTCCCATAGGAACACTAGGCACTGGGGAGTTGGTCCGCATCTGGTTGAGAGTTGGTTTGGGCTGATCAGTGTTGAATGGGTTGGTAGGTGAAGGGGCACTGAGTCCTAGAAAAAACAGAAATATGACTGTCATCTTGATTTCCATTAAGAATTTCAGTGAGAAATTGAATGTCCCCGCCATCAAGTGATTCTGCAAAAGAAATTGGCAAGTTTCAAAGAAAACCCATCATTTTCTTTATTGTCAAATAAGAAAAATGTGGAAAAGCATCTCATCAGTATTTCTGAAGGGCAACATTTCCCCACAGGTCCCAAGGGTATTTGGTTTCAAGACCTGAAATACCAATAGGCCCCAAGGCAAAAGTCACAAACCTTACTTCATCCGAAGACAAATATAGGCATTCTGAATTTTTGGACAAGGATTGAAACCTATGAAGAAATGGGCCCAGTGAAAAGGAGAACAAAGAGGAAGGGTGTGGCAGGGCCTAGGTATAGAATTGGGTCACACAAAACTGCACTGCAAGCAAGAGTCTATAGACTCCTTTCGACATTTGTGCAACATCCCATGTTGTTGTTCCTGCCTATGCAACCTACCTGCCAGAAATGGATTACGTGACTTCAGGCTCTGGGGGACTGTAACCAAGGAGTCCAAATTAACCAAGGAAGAGGCGTTGGGGCCAAGAAAGGTCTCTGGTGTTTTGCTGTCTTTCTTCTCCTTTGAGTCAGGTAAAGAATCTCCTAAACTTGCAATATCAAAAATGTCTTTATTTTTGATTCCATTCTCCCTGGTGCCTGGAATAAGGTCACCAAAGAGGTCCACATCTACAAGAGAGAGAAAAAAGAAAAAAGATGACGTGGTCCCATTGCTTGTTCCGATGACGTGGTCCCATTGCTTGTTCCGATGACGTGGTCCCATTGCTTGTTCCGATGACGTGGTCCCATTGCTTGTTCCGATGACGTGGTCCCATTGCTTGTTCCGATGACGTGGTCCCATTGCTTGTTCCGATGACGTGGTCCCATTGCTTGTTCCCCACTTCCTTTTGGTTTTTGATGATTTAGTTATATATTTACCCATTTCTGAAATGCATCTTTTACCAAAAAAAAAAAAAGACAAAACTAAAAAGCCTAGGCATTTAAAAAAAAAATGGCAGGCTTCATATAGAGCCGTGATAAAACCGTGTTTATTGGATCAGAAGAGGCACACTATAAAAGTCAGTTCTCAGACTCATAAAGGTCCTGGAGGCTTATGTAAACAGCCAGCTGCAAGTTTCACTGTTATCAGTGAAAAGACCCACCTTCATGCCAGATCATAGGAAGATGAATAGAAAGAAAATCAGAAAGTGCGTGCCATAGTACAAGGGAATATTAGTTCTAAACTGAAAATAGATCAGTTGCTGGAATTATTGTAACCTCTTCCTTTCATCTCAATAAATCTTGCTAAAGAAAATTCTTTGAGAATCTTGCTTGGGGAAGAATAATTCTTGTTTTAGGTAGCTGCCAAAGAAGCTGACACAATTTTTTCTAGTTTAAAATTGCATTGCCACCATCCCAAAATGGTACGCTTGGAGTTCTTATACTGTGGTTATCTCCTGTCTTAGTGTTTTTTCTCTGATAGTGTAATCTTTTAGGTATGTAGCTGTATTATATTCTATCTTTCATTTATTCAGAGGACAAATGGTTTACAAATAACCAAAACTTCAGTTAACAATAATAAGATATAAGTTGTTTGTTTGTCAGTACATCAATAGAAGAATGTTTATTTACAAAATGACACTTTACCGTTTCACAAGGACCTCTAGTGTCTTGTCTTATCTTGTCATCTCTTTTCAATATACTGGAAATATCCCTTTTTCCTCTCACTTGTCTGCTACATTTCTCCTCTCTTATCCTTTCCTTCTCCTTCCAAGTTACCTTTTTACCTACTTTATATATAAGAAGTGTCCTGTTAAACCTTTACATAATTATGTTGCTTTGAATAAAAGGAACAAGCTATCTTTTTATCACAAGGCCAACAATGTTAATGGATCAAAAAATTTACAAACTAGACATTCTCTTTTAGCAAATAAGATTAAATTAAATTAAGTTAAAAATAGTTTCTTGCACTTATATATCCCCTGATCAAATTGTAACTGTGGTTCAGAGGAATTTAGTTGACTTTATTGGAAGACCTTTAAACCTATTATGCCAAGTATATAAATATCCCAGTTGCAATGTTTCAGTTAAACATTTCCAATGTATTTGATAGGATGAAATGGAAGTTTCTGTGCAAACTTTTACTGTATGTGCCGTGGGTTTGATTATAATTTTGTATCTATAACTAAGCAACTATATTTGCCTTCTAAGATAATTCTTAATAAGCAATATTAATTAATATTGCAGGAATAAAATGGGATGTCCTCTCTCCTCATTCTTGTTTATAACTGAACCATTAGCAGATAATATCAGCTATTACAATGATATTCAAGTAGCAAGTGTTAAAAACCAACATGTATTTGATTAATATATTTACTGATGCTATAGCAATTTTCTTCAATCACCATTCCCAGTTACAAAATAGCTTAACCAAGTGGCAGAACCAGAAGTTAATATAGAAAATCCAGCAATTATATTAATCAACACTAACATTAATTATGCAAGTATGCTTGAGGACTTCTGACCAATAGGAGAGATTCTTAGGAATTGTTCTCACAAAGATGTAGGCCAGCTAAGGAAAATAAATTCTGATCCATTGTTGATAAGCACTAAGCAGGTTTTGTACTCCTTAAAAAAAAACATTACTATGGCGTGGCAAAATTGCAGCTGTCAAAGTGGCATTATCAGAATTATTTTGTTTCAGAAACTGCCAATTTGACTTCCCAGTGTTGACAAAACAGTTCAGTAGCACCAGCCATTTGAGGAAGAAATCTAGGCTTCAGCAAGCAATATTGTATAACTATAAAAGTGAAGAGGGCTGAGAATAATAAAATAGTATTATGAATGTTTTCAGTTACATCAATGAATACCCATAATTAGTACTCTCCTGCGTCCAGTGGGTTCAGATAGAGCTGGCTTTGGAATCACCAGAAATCAGTCCAGTAATACAGGGCTTAACTGAAATATTGCTACTGGGGTATTTATATACCTGGCATAAATCAATTCTGTTCTTAATAAATTCTACAAAAAAGTTATCCTGTATTATCAATCTCTGTCCAAAATCAAAGGTAACTATTTGGCATACAGAAAAAGTATTAGCACCCTTTGCTACCTTTCTTAAAATGTATAATTTTTAAATATAAAATGAAAATGACCAGCTCAAAGATTAAGAGCACAAGAACCTATGCAGACTTGGAGACATGATCATTAATGGTCATTCTGTACCTATTGAGTTATATATGAAATAGAAACTGGAAAATGTTCAGTTCTGTTCTCTTATGGAGATAGTTCCAGTCAGAACTTTTATTTAAAAAGCCTTTCCATTTCTCTTTTGCAGAACGTAAGATTAAGTTCAGCCAACATGTGTGGTTAGAGTTAGAGCTTTTAAAAAATTAAAAGCAGTTATATTACACTATGAAACAGATGCTCAAAACTTTATCAAAATAATTTGAAATGTAATTTAGGAATAGAAACAGAAGGAGCTGAGTGGAATGCCATCTGGCCCAAACCAAAAAAAAAAAAAAATAGGAGGAGGAAGGAATATTAGGGATGTTTGCCACCTTGTGTTATTTATAAAAATAAGAAAGGCGGGATAAAAAAAATCTTTAAAAAAATCCTTTAATGCCATTCCATAGATGGTAACTTACAGTTCTTCACATGCATTCCATTTATCATTGATGATATTGTTACCCTGGATGGACTGTGGCCACTTCTTTTCATTTGCGGAGGTCTTTAGGGCATTCTACTCTAAAGCATTTGCCGAAATGGCTAATATAGCACAGCAACTTGTAGAGACTGATCTGCTACTCAGATTTTTATACTGTAAATACTGGAGCCTGCCCATTATTAATTAATTAATAATTAATTCATCTGTTATCACGGACAGCCCAAAACATGGTTGCATGATAGGAAATGGATAGAGGAATTATCTGTGCCTGTTATCTCAAAATATGAGGCACTGCATTGATGGCAAGGCTAATGCCATGGCACAGATCTATATGACACTCATCCTATCAGAACTGTTTTGAAGTCATCTCATTTCCCTTTATACAAGGAATAGCAATCTGGCAGTACATTGCCATCTTCTTCACACTTCTCTTCTTGGAGAGGTACCTACTTCAAAGGATATTAAAAATGACTCTGAAGACTTGCAAGCAGATAAGGCAATCCTTCCCAGTTGGCCAGCCAGCAGCCCCCACTGCCCAAGCAGCAATGAGATTCCATTCATGCAGATGCATCATTGGAAGCTTTTAAAAAGCTTCTTGCAGGATGAAGGGAATGGGAAGTACACAAAAAGGGAGATGAGAGCTAAACTAGGTCAGAGGAAGAAGTGTGACTGAAGACTGACTCCTGCATGGAAAGCACTTCTCTGAGTATGGGATATCTTGTGAAATGAAAACTAGGGTGGCACTACTTCTGGTTTTGACACCATCCTCCTTCGCTGACCTCAAAGATTGTAAGAAAGGCTGGACCTGGTTATTGTTTAGATGAGAGACCCCCAGAAAATTCCAAGGCTGTAGAGTGGACTGGGAAGGTAAAAAAAACAGCAACAAAGAAGAAAGTGTAAAACACTTTCATATTTCTGCTAGGACAACTGTCCATGTAGTAACCAGAAGTTGGTTTTAGCTTTTTATTGTCAGCAAACTCTGTCAAAATTCTGAGATCAAAATGTGCAGGAAGAACCTGCATCCACAGTTATTGGAAACATTTCCTCCCCAAGAATACATAGGATCACCCTTCTCCTTTCCAGATGTACTTTATAGCTCCTATCAGGTTTGTCCAATGGGCGTGTTGCCTGGGGTTAACAGGCGTCATGTCCAAGGAAGGATGTAGTTGGGAATGGCTGCATTAGCACTTTGCTTACCTACAGAACCATTGGATTTCACAGATGATGGAGCCTGGGAACTTTCATGTTCTGGTTGATCCACAGGTTCAGGTAATTTTGCAAATAAGTCAAATGTACTATTGCCTACAGAGAAGTAAAGACAGAAAAAAAGTCCAGTTACCAGCCCCATTCTTGCTTTGTTCTCTCTCTGCCTTTCTCAATATCACTACCATCAGTAGTAGTACTGATATTCATGCTTATCCTTCACACACTATGCAAGGGAAGCTAAGGAAGGGATAGATTTCCTGTCCAGTACTAAGACCTAGAAAAGAGATACGTTTCTCCTCTTCCTCCACTACCAGTTTGTTACTTGAATACTCAGCAGAAGTGAGAGTGAAGTTGTGCATGGAATTGTCTTGTTTTACATCAAGACCAGACATCAAGAACCAAACATCTTTACAGTAATAAGGAAGCAGAGAAAGATGCATGCCTAATCCCATATGGCACTGGACTGTTTCACTTCTGTTTCTGAAGACAGCTAGATAGGCATTTAAGTGTCTTTCATTTTAGTCATAATTAGAAAGGTCACACAACTTGCCACTTAAGAACTCAACTGGGACAATTGCAGGTCACTCTTGCAAAGCAGACACTAGTAATTCATCATGTTAAGTGGTCTTAAAAACTGCAGGTGATTTTTTTTAAAAATTCATTTGATTTATATCCCATCTTTTGTACAGGAGCTCAAGGTGTCATTGTTAGTGCTCCCTCTTCCTATTTTTCCCTACAACGACATCCCTGTGAGATAGACTAGGATGAGAATGATTAGCTCAAAGTCACCCACTGTAGAGGACATAAGGAATGGACATTGAAAGACAGGAGAAAGAGCAGCTACCACAAGCACAGTCAGACTTCTAAGATTCTGTTACTATTGCTGTTACTTTTACTACAGTAAAAGTAGTCCTAACCTACAGTATATGGCACTGGTTTCTGAGCCTGGTCTACCTTGTTGGGCTGACATCCAGTGGCTGAGGGTAGACTCAAACCTGTATCTCCCCACTTCTTGTCCAACACCTTAACCACCCCACCATACTGGCTCTCTTACCAGGGGCGGAGGAATTGTCAGCAGAACCTCCCCAGGGTTCAGCAGCGGAAGTAACACCTGCAGAGAGTGGAGCAGGTGGTGACTGTTTTCCCCAGGTATCTGAAGATGGGACACCTGAAGGCAATGATTTTATCCCCCATGGATCAGAGGCAGAAGAGACAGGAGGAAGATTCCAGGGGCCAGAGGAAGCTTGACTGGTAGAAGCGTGAGTCAGAGGATCCTCCGAAGGTAATGGCGCCCAAGGGTCTGCAGCAGGACCCCAGGATGTTCCTGTTGATTCCACAGAAGATTTGGTATCTGAAAGGAGCAAGCAGATAGAAAACAGTCTATCAACATGGAATCAGAAATAGGGAATGAATCAACTAAGAAGCAGATATAACTTGATGAAGTCAAGATTGAATAAATGAGTCAGATCAACCTTAGAGATGCCCCTTGATGAAAGACATCTTAGCTGATTCATTCTATGAGCTTTAACTGATAAAACCTGCATATATATGTATAAGAATACATGCTAAAGGGGGAAAGTAATGTCTAGATGTCTAAATGCTATATACAACCTCTGAGTTCAAAAGGAGTAATCTGAGGGGGGGAAATAACTTAACTTTAAAGGTATTCCTGTAATAACTCATTTTTTAAAATAAAGATTTTTAAAACTCTCTCTCACATACACAAACACAATGTATACAAAATTACAAAAATCAATTGAATTTTTTTTTATTACATAACAGATACTGCAGCTCAAGGCAGGATCACACAATAAGGGCTTAACATTGACCCCAGCTGCTCAACAGCATGAATGGAATGGAAGAACAGAAAAGAGAAAGGAGAGAACAGGTTCAAAGCTTCTTACTATTATGCTCCCAAGAACTGGACAAGGACAGAGCTGAAGGAGAGAAGTCTGTGTCAACAAATCGAACAGTGCCCCCACCTGGAATATCCCATGGGTCAGCAGAAGTGTGGGTAGAGGTGACTGGTGCTGGTCCAAAAATGTCTGCCAGCTCCAACACAGAAGACTTGAAAGATACAAAGGAATACCATATATTAGAGCTTATACTTCTATAGTTCCTATAGAGCTTAGACGAATATGAATGATTCAACATACACCAAGAATATAGCCATTTTTGCAAAGTATCAAAGAAACAAAAGACATCCCCTTCATCTCCTTAGGCATGGCACTGGCATTCCTTTGCTCCTGAAGTGCGTTTTCTGATGGGGTGTTTGTATTGCTCCAGAATCAGCTTCACACCCAAATGATCTCATGGTGTCATCTGCATTCACAGCTGGGAGGTGGGAATCATTGGACAAATGCACAAAACATGAACTAACCTTATGAGTGTTGACCGAATGCCATTCTGTGCATTCCCCTATTGCACAGCTGGTAGAAAGAACTGATTGGCTCATGCAGTGATCTCAGCCTTGTGAGTTGGCTTCACACTGCTTTCAAGGTACTGTGGAATGGAAATGATGGTGGCATTAACATGCCTGAAGACTGAGTGTTTCTGGAAATAATATTCTGCAGGGGACCACTTGCTGTACAGGCTATGGAATATGAGAACAGTTTATGCTTATCAGAGGCTGGAAACTGCCAGTCTGAACTTGGTAGGAATAAATGAATATGAACAATATGCCTGGCTCTAGAACAGATACACCTGGAGAGAGGGAAATTGTCTGATAATTCACCGTCACAATACCAGAGGTAGCAACAAAACATTCGCCTGCCCTATCTTTGGTATTTTATTCTGCCAATACAGTAGATGAGTGAAGTATGGGTGGATAGGAAGAAAAGAAGTAAAATAAGCCTGGATAAATTCCACTGAAACAAAAAGCATGGAAACCTAAGAGTATTTCCTCATGCTACTGTGCAACTATCCTCATTTTTGCAACCATCCTCCCTTTGATAGTTAAGCACTTCCATTCTATCAAGGCTTTATTGCTTCATGTTTTGCCCTTTCCCAAAGTTCTTTGGGACTGGACCCAGTTATTCTATAACACCCATATAGGCAGGGATAAGTAAAATCAGAGTTTCATAAGCTTTTGTGGAATTAAGGGCTCAGAGTCTTTGCAAAACTTGTGGCATGACAGGATGCAGCATCTGAGTCAATATTTGCTAATCTACCACTTAACCAATGAGAATTGGAGCCAAAATCGCCATCAAAAACTTCAGCTCCAAGCTACACAGTTTGCAATTCCACCTGAAGATAACACATGGGGAATATAAATTTGCATACTTCGAAGCAGGCATTATAACATGCCTGCCACTGGTTCTTCATACCTGTTTTTTCTTTGCCTTATCATCTTCTTCAACTTCCTCAACACCCAGGTTACTTTCTTCCAGTGCCTTTTGCAGTAGTGAATTTTCTCCTTTCCATGCCCTAACTTCCTGCAATCAGAATAAACACATGCCTGAGCCAAGTACCAGAAAGTGGAATGATTATTTCTGAAAGGCAACAATCATCATTCAGGTATTACCATGTGAATTTTTAGTAGCAATCACTCTTTTAGTTTCCATATATAATTTAAGTTAAGGTACTCCCTGATAAGGTTAGTCTTTAGAACCATGAAAATTAAAATTATTAATTGGAAAAGAATCAGAAGGCAGAAGAAAATGGATACAGCAGGGAGTGATAGCAGGAAGGAAGAGGTCTAGAATTCTCTCACCTAAAAATGTCACAGATTCTATGATAGGGGTCAGTAGCAATCTTATGCACAGTTTTTAGGAAATAAGTCCCACTGAGCTTGGCGTCTTGAGTTACTGTAAAGCAGATATGCTCAGGAGTGGTTTTGATAATTAGGTAAAGAGAAATGCTTGCACATTTTCACTTTGCCTGATTGATCTGATTGCCAAATCTTAAATTTGACAAATTCCAACATTTGATATTTTTGCCATTAGGAGAAAGAACCCATAGCACCATTCTTGGGTTCTGAGGCTTTGACATTTCTCATACAACACAAGATTTGATTCATATTTATGAAGGCTAACAACTTAACCTTTGCCACCTTAATAATTTCAGAATTTCAACAAATAAATGAGATTCCAAGGCTTTTGCCAAGTTAGCAATGTGTAGAATTTCTAGACCACTGGGATAGAGCAGCACTGTCCCAGAAAAAAGATGTGTAGGTAACAAAAAGCTGCCCCCTTTGAAGAGATGTGAGTTCAAGAAGAGGAAAGGTAAAGTGCCCTTTCACCACCTGGGCTTGGGGTACCTTCTCATGCTCTTGTTTGCTCAGGGTAAGCGCTATCTGTAATTGCAAATCTTCATCTGTGCTGGAGACTGGAGGAAGTGGCTGCTGATAACGAAGGAGAATTGGGTAAAAGTTTGCTCAGAGTTCTACATTCAATCATTTATTCTAGGTAAACAATCCACCCCCTTTTATTCTTTGTGGACATACAGCAAGTTGGTACTGAATTAATCTATTTTTCTTCATTTCAGTACTGAATTATGTAGCTTAATTTCTATTTTAGCCTTCTCTGCACTGGTGTACTCCAGAAGTGTTGGATACAACTTGAATAATGCCCATCCATAGCTATAAGAATTGATTCAACACATCTGGTAAGTATCACATTGGCTGATCTGTTGTTACATCAAGTTTGGAGTTCATCCACTGACGACACCAGTTTTATTATCAGGATTCTATTTTATCAAGGTTCAGCTGAAGTTTAACCCCCCTCATCAAAAACAGCACTGATCTTTCACCTAGATGTGGAAAAAAGAGAGAAATAGAGCTAAAGTCATCAGCATAGTATTTCTATCTGATGTTTAAAAGCCTAGGGGTGTCAAACTTCACACCAAGCACAGGAATAGTTCTCGGCTCTTCAGGAATTCAACCCCACATTTAATAACTAGCTAACCACAGAAGGTTTACAGATTTGACATGGCTACTTAAGTTGCTTTATTACAGAGAATTCATACATATACAGTATAACAGATCTGTCTACTGCAGAACACAAGAATCATGTGAAAGCTATAGAGACAGACAGACAGACAGACAGACAGACAGCTTCTTGGTTTAGTTTCTAGGCCTTTTCCTCCAACCCTTTTATGGACTTCTGACCATTTTTTTTCCTAACTTGAGCACTGGAGTCACTTATTCCAGGAGAATCAGTAGGATCGCAGTCTACATAAGTCTAGATAATCAACTTCTCCAGAAGTGCTTACAGTGCTGTCCATGTTATTTCAAATATTTCTATGCTGTCCTTCAATTTAAAATTCCCAGAAATTTATAATAGGGAAAAACTGAGACAGTTCACAAAGTTAGGGTGTAAAGATTTTTCTCCTAGTGGAGGAGGTACTGTGGCCTTCCATGAGACAGCAAGCGTATATTCTGCTACAGTTGAAATACTAAGTCTCCTGCCAAGCAGGTTGGCCAGTCTCCCATGATCTGCCAGCAGCCAAGAAGGACATGGGTTGAGGGACTTTTACTTCTAGTCCAGAATTTTCTTAGCTGCTTGGTCTTCTGGTGAAATCAACAAAAGCTGATCCAGGCAACCCTGCATAGCAGCATTTGGACAGCCAACCAGCCTGGACCCCAGGTGGCATCTAAGCCAGATTTGGATAACCCACAGGGTATCCCAGTCATGACAATGTGGGTAACTAAATATTTTGCAAAGAAGTCACAGGGGCTCACAAGCTGCATGTGTGATATCACCACATGATAACAGAGGCATCTGTGTATTCCCGATAAAGTCAAAAAACTTTTCCTGTGCTATTGGGCCAGTGTTACAAGCCTCGTATGAAGAAATGTTCCTATTAAAATCTATAAACATGAAATAAAAAGACACAATTAATAATATAGGAGCTGTGGCATTATTGCACCTGGTGTCTTTCTATGTATTTGTGCATGTAGCTTGGGGGGCGGGGTGGGGGGTTGCTGCATGTTGTAGCAACGTGGCTGGCTTTCCAAGCTAATGTAGCCTGAGACCTTGCTTCGCTGGCTGCTATGACCCCACTATCCTCTCTCCAGCTTGCAGTTTATCAAACGTCGTTCCAAAACTCAGTTCCCTCCAACAAGGCCAAACAGCAGGCAAACAGACTTTGGCACTAGTAGGTACAATCTGCTTTGTCATTATTTTAGACAAGGCATCGTCATGCTGTTGCTGTAAAAGATTGTCCCTATCCATTCCAGAGAAATAATATGTTCACACACCATCATTAATCTTGTTTTCTGAAGGATTATTGCTAGTATTCATGTAAATGTTTAATTCACAAAGGCTGCCCAGTTCTTAGTGGCTGTATTCACACATCCCACTAAAGAAAAATGTTTGGCTTTAGCTTAGCATGACATGTGAACCAGCCTTTCTAGTTCATAAACTGTTATTAATGACTTGGCATTATATGGCTGATATAACAAACCATTTTAAACCAGTATTTAGCAAAATGTGTCAATTTGCCAAGGTTTTTGACCCAATGTAGCTTTATTCTTTCTCAGGCAACTAGCTGAAGGTGACAGAAAGTTAGTCCACACAGGACACACTTCAGTTGCATTAAAAGGCAAGGTTAAGAGACAAATGGGAATATTTATCCAGAAGCTACATATTTGGTACTTGTATGTCTGCAACAGTTACAAGCACCAAAGCTAAATCACCATCTTTGTTTTCAGTACACTGATGAGACTCATCAGTCTGACTTCCCATTACTTCACAAATCATTCCTGCTCCCTCTTCCCTTTATTACAGTCATGGCAAACGTTTTGGGCTTGGTGTGTCAAAAATTCGGAAAATGCCTAATTCAACTGTACTGGCATGCCATACACACACAGACCCCAAACAAAAGAGAAACAATTCTTTACATATTCATTTATTTAAAAAGAATACAGTCCAATCACATGTATTGTTATGTATTATTTAAAGAAACATCAAATGATTATAAAAATGAAATACGAGTAAAACAAATTCAATCTCTTTGGTAACACAAACAGGGAGAATAGTTGTTGTCGGGTGTTAGTGAATGCTGGCATGTCACCCAAAATGTTGTGGCATGTCACTTTTGACATGTGTGTCATAGGTTCACCATCACTGCTTTCTTATGTTACCTTCTAGCCTCCCTGAGATGTAGCTCTCCATATCTTCCAACTGAGATTATAAGAAAACAATTTTTACAAAGCCATGCCATTAACTGATGCCAAAGGTGGAATGTGAGACCAATATACAGTCTAATGCCAGCCATTCCATCCACTGAACTGATCCTCAGAGAAGATATGATGCTATTATGTATTGCTGAAGCTAACTAGAATTTGTCATTGCCAGACTACTCAATGCCAGGAAATTCATTAGAACCTTACTCATGAAACTCTGCCTTATTTCTGCTTCTGGAAACTATCTACTAAATATGTAGGAATGTCTGAAACTGCCTTAGACCACAGGTCCCTCTACTGCCAACACTGAGCAGCAACCACTATCTAGAGTTTCAGGATGGAGCTTTCTATCTTTCCTGGGGACTGAACCGGAACCTGCTGAACCGAAGCACATTTACTATTATTAAGACAAAGGTGGAAAGATCCCACTGCTTTAGATCTTGAGTTCCTCCATCAAACCAGATATTCTCCAGTTTTTCAGTTATCTGCTTTCTTCAGACTTCTGCTGGGTCAAATAATATCAGAATCCTTCCTATTAAATATGCCTAGGAGAATCTGTTCCATAATGTATTGTTTAATTGTTGACAGTGATAATACAGAATGTTTGTAGGAACTTGATGAGCTTGGACATTTTAATCCTGTACAGTACATAATTGTTTTCTTCCTTCTCTAGAACCATAAGAATGTTTTTCTTTTAGTGGTGGTAAAGGGGCAGAGTTACTTTTTTTAAAAAATGGCAGCAAATTTATACATGGACAAACATGGATCCCCTTTTACTGTTCAACATCTAAAAATGCAAGATCAGCAGACTGAAATGGCCATACATGCAACTGTGCCAAATCAGTTTCTTTCTTTTTTTCTTCCCTTCAAAGTAGGTAAAGATTAAAATAATAGCTAAAGCCTGAGTTGGGATGTGAAGATAAGTGAGATTGTGCATAGCATTTCCCTTGTTACAGCAATGGATTCAGTGATAAGGTTGGTATATCTGAGGTACTAATTTTTCCATTATAGGTTCTTGAATATAGCCCAAATTGTGACGGGGCTTAAAGATACTCCACTACGAAGTTCAAATTTTATATAATATTTAGGCAAATACAGCAGCAAAAATTAATCATCTACATAGCTCTTCAGGGTAATGAAGTTCAGTTCTCTGTTATTGCTAGTCACTCTGCCACAGATACATTTTTTCTGTCTCTTTTCAAGATTAGAACACTTGACTTTTATTAAAAGTGTTGAAATACAGATCATGTCTGGATAACTTCGAGAATCATGGAAAAATATATCAGAGGATGGGAAGTCTTTAACAGTACACAAATCAGATTTAATTTCATTATTTTGTTAGGGAGGAAGTGAGGATATAAATTAGAATGAATGAATGAATGAATGAATGAATGAATGAATGAATGAATGAATGAATATATAACAGAATAGGTCCACAAAACAATCATTCTGATATAATGACTAGGTTCACGACCAATCTGTAATGTGACTTGTTTGGATTTTGCTTAGCATGTGTGAATTAACCCATTATAGTTTGTAAATCATAGTTTATGCCTTAGTACAATGTGTAAAGCAGGCCACAATGACTTGTTCCACAAACTGTAGTTAAAACAAATGTGTGAATCCAGCCATGGAGAATGCCTCTAGAACTTCCTTGTCCTGTTTTTCCCTCCCAAGCTGATCTAACTCAGTCAAGAATGGTTTCCTCAAAGATCCATGAAGGGTCTTCAGACATCTACATAGTTGAATAATATCAGATATTTAGTAGGAGTTATGACAACTTAAAATGCTGTTAAATGAGGAATGATCCTCCAGATAAATCCACCTATCAGGTCTTTAAAATAGCAATTTCAAATAATAGCTTCTGTACCTACATTGCTGTGAAGAAATATACATGCAAAGCTAATAGTAGAGCAATGTCCTGGGCCATGCAGGAAACTACACATCCCGGGCCCAGCTTCAATGTGTAAAACAGCACCATCAAAGCATCCTGCCTTATTCTGTGCTTTATTGCAAGCCTGTTCATCATAGGTGAGCTGCTTCATCCTTAAATAAACCAACCCAATAAGCCAGTGTTGTCCAAACTTGGCCACTTTAAGATGAGTGGACTTCAACTCCCAGAATTCCCCAGCCAGCATGGCTGGCTAGGGAATTCTGGGAATTGAAGTCCACTCATCTTAAAGTGGCCAAGTTTGGACAACACTGCAATAAGCAAT